TTAGTTTTACTTGAAGTTTTTAAAGATTTTAGTTTTACTTGGGTAGGTATACTCATAATATGTGTGAAATAATTGTTTTAAACTATTTTGCATTTTTACAATCTGCCTTTTAATATAATGTCCAAGGGCTGGGGATTTAGCTCAGCGGCACCTTGCCTGCCTTGCAAGCACAAGGTCCTGAGTTCGATCCCCAGTACCAAAAAAAAAGTCCAAAAAAAAAAAATAATGTCCAAATATATAAGAACCCACAATGTAATAAAGGAAGTAATACAACATTAAGTAAAAACCATGTGTACCATTCCCTTTTGACCAAGTGGGGACATGAAGGTTAAGAGGAACATAGTGAGCCACTGGGGCTGAGACTATAATGATGAGTGGCAATAGCAAGATCAGCAATGATGAATGTTCTCTATACCAGTGAAAACCAGTTATAAACTGGGCATGGTGGGACACACCTGTAATCCCGGCACTCTGGGAGGTTGAGGCAGGAGGATTATAGGTTTAGCCCCTGCCTGGGTGACTTAGTGAGTTCCTTTCTCAAAATAAAAAATATTTTTTAAAAGTGTTGAGGATGTAGCTCAGTTGAGAAGGTCCAGGGTTCAATGCCTTGTACCAACAAAACAAAACAAAACAACTAAAGTGATTGATCAAGATTCTTAAGAAACAGACATGGTTAAAGATTATTTAGAGCCTTGCATGGTGACAGACAACTGTAATCCCAGCACTTGGGAAGCTGAGGCAGGAGGATGGCAAATTCAAGGCCAGCCTGGGCTAGATCCTGTCTCAAAAACAAACAAACAAACAAGCAAAAATGGCCGTTGATTTAGCTCAGTGGTTGCACCACCTGCCTTGAATGCTCAAGGACCCGAGTTCCATCCCAAAACAAAAAAACAAAAAGAAGCACAAAACCACACAAAAATAACTCTTTGGGCTGGGGATTTATCTCATTGGTTCCGCTGCCTGCCTTGCAAGCACAAGGACCCAAGTTCGATCACTGGTACCAAAAAAACCAAAACAAAATTAAAAACAAAAAACCCCCCAAAATCACGCACCTGCCTGGCAAGCACAAGGTCTTTTTTTTGGGGGGGGGTACCAGGGATCGAACTCGGGTCCTTGCACTTGCGCAGCAGGCAGCGAAACCACTGAGCTAAATCCCCGGCCCAACAAGGTCTTGAGTTCAATTTCCGTACCCCCCCCCAAAAAAACCCCCAATCAATCAATAGCTAAATAACTTACAGTCCACATTGTAGATTTGGAGAATTATACAGGTATGAGCCACAGGCTAGTGCTGGTCATAAACTGGCTATTACTGTTCAGTGATGAGTACAAAAATTAAAAGAAAGCTTTTAGAGAGTTCTAGCAGTGTAACATCACTGGTACATCCAAAGGTATGCTCATTTTTCTAATAATTGATACTTATTTACTCATAAATTATTTTTACAAAACTTTGATGACTTGAGTGAAATATTATAAAAAGCAGCACTATCAATCTTTAAAAAACTGAGTGAAATACAGAAATCTGAGGACTGGTGATTTTTGTTTCTGCTCTTCTAATCCCTTACCCAGTGTCTGACAGTTACTAGTTGCCAAGCACTATTCTAAATGTTTTGTACATATTTACTGATTTAAGTCTTCATAGTAACACTGTTGAGATAGGTACTGTTATTATTTCCATTTTACAGGAAAGGAAACTGAGTCACGGAAAAGTTTGTTACTCACCTAAGGTTACATAGCTGTAACTGATAAAGCTCCAGTTTGAACCTAAGTCTGGCCATGTTCTTACTGTTACACTTGGCAGTCACTGCAATCATTTTTTATAAACAAAAGCTTTTGTGTGTGTGTGTGTGTGTGTGTGTGTGTGTGTTTGGTACCGGGGATCAAACTCCGGACTTTGCTCTTGTGCGGCAGGTGCCAGAACCACTGAGCACCCAGCCCAAAAGCTTTTTGTTTTTGTTTTTGTTTTTCTTGTGGTACTGAGGGTTGAAACCAGGGCCTTTATACTGAGCTATATCTCCAGCCCTTTTTTACTTTTTTGAGACAGTGTCTTGCTAAATTGCCCAGAATGGGTTCAAAATTGTGAGCCTCCCAAAGTGCTGGGATTACAGGTGCTCTACCATGTTTGTCCAATTTTTAAAATTATGGTTGATTACCTTTCATATTTCTCAAAAGGAGGGGTGCTACTGGTTTGTTGGATAGTTCTTTGCATAGGATCCCTGCCTGCCTGCCTTCCCCACTCACTACATACTTTATTTCCCCAACCAGTCATTGTAATATTTAAAAGAAACAAACAAGAACTCCTCTCCATTTCTAGATTCTCCCTTACTGAAAACCTTGTAGAGATGCAGAGCATACTAAGTAGTTGTGAAGTTCTTTTTTTTGGTACTGGGGATTGAACTCAGGACTTTCACACTGAGCTACATCCCCATACCTTTTTACTTTTATTTTTAGTTTTGAGACAGGATCTAGCTGAGTTGCCCAGGCTGGCCTCAAACTTGGGATCCTCTTGTTTCAAGTCCCCATAGTGCATCTTTTTTCTTTTATAGGAAGTTGCTTTCTAACTTCTACTGATTGGTCTTAGGTCTGTATTTGGAAACTGTGAAAGTCATCTTCCAGACCAAGCATCTGTTTGTTTGCCGATCTCCCTGTAAGAAGACTTCTGGAGCTTCGTTTTCCTTTTTGTTCTTGGATGGATGTTTTGTGCTTCATAAAAGAAGAATATATAGATCCTAGTAAAGCCATTTATTAAGGAGTCTATATTTCAGTTATCTCTAATTTAGAATTGTTTAGGTAGCAAATCATACTGTTAAGCCTTTTTTGCTTAAAACCCTGAGGTCTTTGTCCTTTGACTGTTAAACTAAAAAACTAGAACTCTGTCATTCAGTTTTTGTTCAGTTAAAGTTTTTAATCAGTGTGTGTGTGTGTGTGTGTGTGTGTGTGTGTGTGCTGGGGTTTGAACTACTCAGGATGATTGCAATGGGCTACATTTCCAGGACTTCTAAAAATTATTTAAACTTTTATTACTTTTTTTTTTTAACTTTTATTACTTATTTATTATTTCAAGTACTGGGCATTGAATACAAGGCCTTTGCACTAAGCTGCATCCCCAAACTTTTTTTTTTTTTTTGACAATGTCTTCCTAAGTCACTAGGTCAGCCAGGCTGGCCTCAAACTTGAGATACTCCTTGGCTTAGCCTCCCAGAGCACTGGAACTATAGGCATGTACTACCACACTTGAGAAAGTTTTGAATCTTAAGTGGAAGATTACATACATACAACTATTCCTTGTGTGTGTGTGTGTGTGTGTGTGTGTGTGTGTGTGTGTGTGTGGTTTGAATCCATAGTCTCAAGCATACTAGGCAAGCACTCTTTCTCCAAGCTATACCTCTAGCTTTTCCTCGTAAATAAAATTTTTATTTTGGCTCATTAGTCTTCCTGAAGAGAGTTTGTTGTTGCGTGTTGTGTCCCTTTGTCCTCAAGACCCTGTATTCAGTCCCCGGTACTGTAACAATAAGGATAATAAAAACTTCAGTTAGACTTGATGACATGTTTTTAGATATTTGTTTATATTCATTTACATTTTGATGAAGATTCCTTAATCATCTTTTTTTTTGGTATTGGGGATCAAACTCGGGTCCTTGGGCTTGCGAGGCAGGCGGTGGAACCACTGAGCTAAATCCCGGGCTCCTTAATCATCTTATTGTTTTTTGTTTGGTTGGTTTTTATTTTTTGAGACAGGGTCTTGCTATGTAATTCAGACTGGCCTTGAACTCACTGCATAGCCTAGGCTGGCCTCAAACTTCCAGTGATCCTCTTGCCTGCCTCAGCCTCCTGAGTGCTGGGATTACAGGGGTTCGTGGCCACACCTGGAATCATTTCATTGTTGACATTAAGCTAACTCTAGTGGACAGACTTGTATGCATGTATATGGTAGATTGGGATAATAAATGTGTATTAATTTGTTTCCCATTGCTACAGTAAAATACCTGGGCCTGGGTACTTTATAAAGAAAAGAGGCTTGGGCCAAGGATTTAGCTCAGTGGTTCCGGCGCCTGCCTCGAAAGCGAAAGGTCCCGAGTTTGATCCCCAGTACCAAAAAAAGAAACCCAAGAAAAGAGGCTTATTTAGCTCACAACTTTGAAGATTAGTTAGCATAGCGCCGACTCTGATGATAGCCTCATAATAGATATCGTGGTGGAAGCAAATTTGAGAAAGGATCACATAGAAAGACAGGAAGCCAGAGAGCAGGAAGGGGCCAGTCTTGCTCTTTGGTAAGAACCACTCTTTCAAGAATTAACTTACTTTGGCCGGGGATTTAGCTCAGTGGTTCCACCACCTGCCACGAAAGCACAAGGACCCGAGTTCGATCCCTGGTACCAAAAAAAAAAAAAAAAAAGGAAGAATTACTCTGAGAACTATGTACATTAATTCTTTTTAAGGCCCCAAAGACCCAAACATTTTCCACTAGTTTTCACCTTTTGAAGGTTCTGTCACCTCTCAACATTGTCACACTGGGGGCCAAGCTTCTAACACATAAACCCCTGGGGATATACTCATATCATACCTATATCATAGCAAGGTGGTAGGAAGAATCTGCTTGTAGATCATTGGATTTTCTGCTTGAAGGTTCATTTTTCCCCATACATCAGTTATCACAGTAATCTTAAGGAAAAAAACTTTTTCACTCTGAATTATTCATAAATAGCTAAAGATACGAGATAAATAGATGTGCAAATTAAGTGTAATGTTTACTTTTAAGTGTCTGTTGGAAAAGTCCTCTTGTATACTGAATATTGTTAGAGGAAAAGTGGATCATTTGGACCCAAAATCTCATTAGGATTAAGGGAAGTTGTTTGGGATTGAACTTTATTAACCTTTTTTTTTCTTGTGAGTACTATCTCTTTTATTCATTTGGATTCATTCGCTTAACTAAGAAAAAGTTGTGCTCACTTCAGCAGCGCATATTACTAAAACTAAGAAAAAGTTTTAATATTTTTTCTCAGCTCGCGGAACTAAAGCAAGAATGTCTTGCACGTGGTTTGGAGACCAAAGGTATAAAACAAGATCTCATCAACAGGCTCCAGGCATATCTTGAAGAGCATGGTAAGTACTCTGTAAAGTCAAGATGATGTGAGAGAGCTGGGCGTGGTATCGGACACATGTAATCCCAGCACTGGAGAGGCTGAGGCAGGAGGATTGCCATAGGTTCAAGGCCAGCCTGAACTACTAGCAAAACCCTGTCTCAAAAAACAGCAACATAAAAAAGGACGATGTGAGGGGATTAATTTTTAGGCTCTGCCACTTAGAAGATTTCTTCTAGAAGCCTTCTTTTTAGATCATTGTTGATGTAAACTTTTGATTAACAGTGTCAGGGAAACTCTTCTTGGTCATCCAAAATAGTGATTATAATACAAAGAAATAGAGTAAAACCTTGGTTTGCAAGCATCATTCATTCCAGAAACATGCTTGTAATCCAGAGCACTTGTACAGTAAATATGTCAAAGCAAATTTCCCCATAAGAAATAATGGAAACTTAGATGATATGTTCCATAGCCTAAAAATAGTCATATAAAAATGATTATAGTGGGGCGGGGATTTAGGTCAGTGGTTCCGCCGCCTGCCTCAAAAGTGCAAGGTCCCGAGTTTGATCCCTGGTACCCCTCCCCCCAAAAAGATTATAGTACTGAAATGTAATACAAAATAAGAAAAATAAACTGTGCTACACTTTGAAAACCTTAGTGGGTGGTATGAGGGAGTCAGAGAGAAGGGTTATTGTGTAGGGTGGCTTTCACCAATAACTGTCTATTGGTTTTTTGGCCCTCTTTTTTGGGATTATTTTGTTTGTTTTTTGGAGACAGGGTCCCACTTTGTAGTTCAGGCTGGTCTTGAACTCACAGTGATCCTCCTGCCTTATCCTCCCAAGTGCTGGAGATTACAGGGATGTACCACCACACCGGTCTCTTTTCCTGCAACTTTAACAAGGAACCTATCCAAATGACACTTCCTTTAGCCTCCTTTGGAGGATTTCTCGGAAATAAGATATTATTTCATTAAACACATTCATTGCTTGCACTGCTACAACCTTATTTGGGTGGTGCTTTTCTACAAAATTTTGCAGTTTCCTACATTTTATACATCTCCCTAATCTCATGTGAGGGATTCTTCTGCCTTTTTCTCCTCCTATACAGATGATATCTCCATAAAGCTTTGCTGTTGAAAGACTATCACTCATAGTTCTGCAGAGAGAGAGAGACAGAAGCACATGTAGGGTTGGGTGGGAGAAGAACCATTGGCTCAGTTGTGGTCATGTGACATTTGGCATCACTACTGCTTGTGTTGCAAGATGTTGCTGTTTATCAAGTTAAGATTTATTAGAAATGTTTGCTCATCTTGTGGAACCCTCACAGAACAAGTTTCTCACAATCCAAGGTTTTACTGTACTCTCTTTTTTAAAAGATACAGATTTAACTCAGCTTTTTATGTGTGTATATTTTGGTTTTGTTTCTTAAAGGGTCTTACCATGCTGTCCAGGATGGCCTTGAATATTTCAGTGTGTTATTTAAAAGTTAACATTGGTAATACAAATAATATTAGGCTGATAATTGGAAGGCTTATGTTTTACACTTTGTTTTGGTTGTTTTTATGTACTGGGGATTGAACCCAGGTTCTTGTGCATGGTAGGCAAGTGCTGTGCCACAGAGCTACATCCCCAGCCTGGAAGGTTTAAGTTTTAATTCTCTTTATGCCAGAAATGTATTAGGTAATTTAGGTCAGTAACTGTTTACATGGCTAAATGTCTGTTCCTATGGCATGAGACAAATGTCTGGACCCTTGAAATCCATAAACTAGATAATCTCTGGTCCTTTCTAGGTTTGATATTCTTTAGTTTTGCATTTTATTTTATTTTATTTTTTAATTTTTTATTTTTTTGGTACCGGGGATTGAACTCAGGTCTTTGTGCTTGCGAGGCAGGTGGCAGAACCACTGAGCTAAATCCCCAGCCCCTAGTTTTGCATTTTAAAAAATAAAACAAACTGAGCACAGTGGTACATGCCTGAAATCCAGCTGCTTGGGAAGCTGAGGCAAGAGGATTGTGAGTTTAAAGCCAGCCTGAGCAATTTAATAAAACCCTGTCTCAAAAATAGTAAAAGGGTCAGGCTATTTATAGCTTAGTGCTAGAGTAATTGCCTAGCACATGTGTGGCCCCTAGGTTTAATCTGTAGTACCATGGAAGAAATAAAAAAAGAAAGACCCGAGCTTTATTAGGGCATATTATCATTCTGGATTCAACAAATCCCTTTTCTAATTTTTATTTATTCCTTCTTATTGCCATTCCTCACTTCACTTCCTCCCTGCCCCCTTAAGGATCCATTCTAATCATGGGTTTTTTGTTTGTGTGTTTCCAGCTCTTTTTAAAAAATTTTTTCTTTTGGAACAGAGTCTTGCTAAATTACACAGGCTAGGCTCAAACTTTTCCCATCCTAGAGTGCTGGCATTACAGGCACATGCCATCATGTTCAGTTTTAATGAGTTTCATATGTAGTTTTTGTCCTAGTTCCTATAAACCATACAGTGTTTGGTACAGTATTTTCATTTATATAATTAGTAATGAGGCCATAACTTTATTTTATTTCTCACTTTTTTACTAAGTATTGTGTTTTTCTTTTAAGTTGTATCTATATAACACAAGGCTATATGATCATCTAGTTTATTGCAGTTCTGCATAGCATTCTACACAGTGTGGTCAAAGTATGTGGTATTTAAATTTATTGTTTATTAATTTATTTATTTGGTACCGGGGATCGAACTCTTGTTCTTGTGCTTGTGAGGCTGGCAGCTGAACTACTGAGGTAAATCCCTGGCCCCTGTGGTATTTAAATTTAAAAAAATTTTTACATTAAAAGACACATTGCTACTAATCCTCCCTCAGAGGACCCCCCCCCTTTTTTTTTGCTTCATACATACCTATCGTGTTGTTTGCTATTTTCTGAAGCAGTTCTGGAAGTCATCTTTTGTGAACGTCTTTAGGAGGTGTGATAAAAAATGTGAATGTTTGATCCCCAGTGCCCCCCTCAAAAAATGTGAATGCTGTTGCTGTGTGACATCCAGTGGAAAGGCAGGCTTGTAAAAACATTGTATAGTGTGTCCTTATTACCTTACTTACCAGATATGGCACACCCTTGTGACTTCTGGCTCTTTCCCAAAGTCAAAATGACCATGAAAGGTCAGCATTTTGAATCCATTCAAGACATTGAGGCAGCCATGACAGCATAACAAAAGACATGAAAGAAGACTTCCAGAACTGCTTCAGAAAGTAGCATGAATGATGGGATAAGTGTGTTCAAAATCAGAAGAATATTTGGGGGTGGGGGTGGTAATGGCACTGTGTCTTTTACTATAATACATTTTTTTAACATTCACTATTTTCTGATCATGTGGCATATGGTATACAGTAATATTTTGCTTCACGAACACGTCTATATGCAAGCAATTTGGGTTACAAACAAAAGTCTTTGGGAGAATTTTGCTTCTGTTTGCAAACTCCTCATCAGGTGACAAAAATGCCCATGGCCATCTTCCCCACACAAACACAGACATCTTCCCCCAAATTGTAAAACAAATTAAGTTCCTAAACCAAGGTACCACCATATAGCCACCACATTTTATAATTGATTCAGTGGCAGACACTTGTATTATCTCCAAGGCTCAGCTACTGTAATACTACTACTTATAGTAATAATATATTTATTAACCCTATATGTATGTATTACTATACAGTATACTAATAATATACTTATATGTGTATATAGTATACTATTGGTATATAAACTATATGCTATACTATTAACGTATAATATTCTGGTTTTTGTTGTTGTTGTTGTTTTGGTACCAGGGATTAAACTCGGGTCCTTGTGTTTTCGAGGCAGGCAGTGGAACCACTGAGCTAAATCCCCGGCAACATACAATATTCTGAATTACTTTTATTTCCTTAGGCTCTTGTGAGGGTTTTTCTGGGTACATACCCTGGAGTGGGGTGGGTAGTTACTATATATTCATATGTGTATACATACTTAATATGACAACACTGCCAAATTCCTTCCCAGAATTTCTCTATTAATTAATTAATTAATTAATTTTTTTTTTTTTGAAAGAAGGTCTCACCATGTAGTTCAGGCTGGTCTTGAACTCACTGTGTAGCCCAGGCTGGCCTTAAACTCGAGACGGTCCTCCTGCCTCAGCCTCCCAAGTGCTGGGATTACAGGCATGTGCCACCATGTCTGGCTCAGAATTTTCCTTTAAATATTCACTCATATCACACTAGTGCATCAAGGTTTTTATATCTCCACAAACCTAAATTTGGCATTATCCTATCAAGTGGGCCGGTTTTGCTAATTTGTTGTTTTAACTTACTTTTCTCTAAAAATAATTTTTTAGTGTTCATGGTTCTTTGCCCAGTTTTCTTTTGATTCTCATCATTCACTTACCAGTATGTAGGCCTTTTTTTTTTTTTTTTAATTTTAGCAATTATTTCCTTGTCCTTCTTGGTGTTTTGTTTTTTGTTTTTGAGACAGTCTCACTATGTAGACCAGGCTGACCTTGAACTTGTGGCAATGCTTAAGTGCCTCAGCCTCCCGAGTGCTGGGATTACAGGTGTGCACACACCTGGTGACCTTATTTTTTAAACAGATCCTTCCCCATCACTAAATCTCAAAATTATCTTTCTACATTACTTTTTAAATTAATTTTATAATGTGACCTCATCACATTTAGTTTTTCAGTCCAAATGGAATTCAGCTTTGTACTAATGTTAGATAGAGATCTGGTTTTTGTCTTCTCCAAATGTAATGAATTTTCTGTTCTACCTTCATTATTGATTCTTACTTTTGGAAACCAAGTTAATTATAATTTTAGCCTTAAGTACAGTGATGAATGTGGTTTTATAGCGAGAGTTGACCTGAATATTTTAATATTCTTTAGCCGAAGAGGAGGCAAATGAAGAAGATGTACTGGGAGATGAAACAGAGGTGAGTTGGAAATAGTAACGTTAGTCACTGGCCTGACAGTGTGCTATTGCCTTGACCGTGCTTAACGTCAATCATTAGACTGCTTAGATGCTAATCTGTTAGGGAAGTCTAAGAGAGGAATGAAAGTTCTGAGAGACTTGTTAATTTTGGAGTTGTGATAATCTTAAATAGATGGGTATACTTTTTTTTGAGATAGGGTCTCACTGTGTATCTTAGACTGGTCTCGAATTTGCAGTTCTCCTGCCTCAGCCTCCTGAGTGCTGGGAGATGAGTATTTACTCTTTGATTTTATGTTAACCTTGTTGTTTCATTTGGTTTTAGGAAGAAGAAACAAAGCCCATAGAACTGCCTGTCAAAGAGGAAGAACCCCCTGAAAAAACTGTTGATATGTAATTATCTTTTTTATAATCTGAATACAGAGCAGATAGTTCTTTTACTGTGTAAAGATTCCCTTTGTTTTACCTTTATTCCCATTGATCTTCTAATTTCTGATTAAATCATACATTTTTAGAAGTGTCTTACTTCAATCAAGTACATGGTCCAAGTGAGGCTAGTTTGTCTCTAAATTTTGTAGTGGGTAATTAGAACCAGGTGACTTCAGCCCAGACACAATTTACTTTTTCTATCCTTTGTTCTTGTGCAGGATCACCATAATAGAGTATTCTGTTAGAATCTGTATGATTCTCTATACTGTAAACTACTAAATTCTGTAAACTGTTGTCTTCACAGAAAAGTGTGAAACTGTATATAGTTTTACAAGAGAGGAGAGGGTAGAGGTTATGTCTTACATAACCCTGTGCCTGTGTTCTTTCTTGCTTTTTGATTTACGGGGGTGGGGGTTGGGGCAAAGTACTAGAGTGGAAAGTGGATCTCAGTTTGTTTGAGCTATCCCACAAAGTTGATGCTAAACATCATTTATTTGGGGCTCTTTCCACAAATATCTGACTGTTTTGTATGCCAGCCAATTAAGAACAGTTGAGGGCCAGGGATTTATTAGCTCAGTGGTTCCGCCGCCTGCCTGGCAAGCGCAAGGACCCGAGTTCGATCCCCGGTACCAAAAAAAAAAGTTGAGTCCCTCTTGACATTTTTGTTCCTTACAGTAGTATTAAAGGCATTTAGTTATAAAAGGCAATGTATATAAAAATCATTCAATACATAGAGGAGTATATAAATTGAAAATTAAGTGCTTCTTATGTCTATCTCCATCAGACTTTCCAGAGAATTTTTTTTCCCCAGAGATTTTTTTTTTCGTGGATCCTTTTTGGGATATTTAACATGGTTGTGTGTTTTCATGTAATTTCTTCTTCTTTTTTTTCTCCTGATATTTGGATTTGAACCTAAGCCCTCCCACATGCCAAGCAAGAACTCTACCACTAGCTACATTCCCAGCCCTTTTTGTGTTTTATGGGTTTTTAAATTTTTAAATTTTTATTTTTTTAGAAACTGTCTCACTATGTAGCCTAGGCTCGCCTTGAACTCACCATGTAGTCCAGGCTGGCTTTGAACTTGTGGTGCTCCTCCAGCCTCAGCCCCCCAAGTGCTGGGATTACAAGAGTGTGACACCATGCCAGGCTCCAGCCCTTTTTAGTTTTTATTTTGAAAAGGGTTTCATTAGGTCATGCAAGCTAGTCTGGAACTTGTGATTTTCCTGCGTTAGCCTCTGGAATAGCTGGATGTGCAGCAGCACCATTCCTAGCTAGGACTTTATTCTTTCTAGAAATTAATAACACTCAGTTCTGTAGAGAAACCGTAGTTCATTTCACCAGTCTTCTGTTTGTAGACATTCAGTTACTCATAAAAGCAAAAACAAAAACAAAAAACAGTGCTGTATGTCCTTTTCCATTTTTTTTTTTTTTTTTTGGTACCAGGGATCGAACTCAGGTCCTTGCACTCGCGAAGCAGGCGGCGGAACCACTGAGCTAAATCCCTGGCCCTATCCAACTATTTTTTTTTTTTTTTTGGTACCTGAGATCGAACTCGGGACCTTGTGCTTGCGAGACAGGCGCCAGAACCACTGAGCTAAATCCCTGGCCCAATCCAACCATTTTTATACTTATGCATTATGACCATATGAAAAATTCCTAGCATGAGATTTGCTGTATCATAGTGAACATTTAACATTTTGATTGATTTTGTCAAATACTACTTTGTAAAGCCATCATATTTATTATTATTTTAAACTTTTTTGTTGTTAGAGATTGAACTCAAGGTCTCACTCATGCCAAGCAGCTGCTATACCAATAAACTGTATTCCTAGCTCCCATTCTAGGTTTATAATTCAGTATAATAGGGAAAATGAATTGTTGGGAAAGCTTTTAAGACATATGGCTGAGGGCCAGGGATTTAACGCAGTGGTTCTGCTGCCTGCCTTGCAAGAGCAAGGACCCGAGTTCGATCCCTGGTACCAAAAAAAAAAAGACATGTGGCCAAGCATGATGATGCATTCCTGTAACCCCAGCCCTCCAGATGCTGAGGCAGGGGGATCCATGAGTTTATAGCTAGCCTGGGCTGTGTAGTGAGACTCTGTCTCAAAAGACCAAAACAAATAAAACAGAGATGTTTTGAGGACTTGGACAGGAAGGAAGATCAAATGGATATATGAAAATTTGCTTGTTTGGGTTAAAAATTAATGAGGTTTGAAAATCTGAAGAAGTTGATTATGCGTAGCATATATGAAATTTGTAATTCTCTTATTCAGGGGGTTTTAATTCTATTGATGAATTTTGAAACAAAATGCAAAGCATGTGGAGGTGGTAATTTTGTTTTTTAGAGGTATGGTTGTAGTAGTTAGACTAGATATGTTCAGAGATTCTGGGTCCTTGTAATTTAGAGAGTATTTTTTATATGTAACTGGGTGTGAGAAAATACTGTCAGTGTAGTAGAGATTTCCCACAAGTCCCAGAATGTGGTGTGTATTTATTTCTTAAGTTTAATTGTGCCTAAGAGGATTGGAATCTAGTGGAAGGAAGCTTCCTCTCTTGGTTTCCTTTTTTGCCATGAAGTCTACTTCAGTGATTGTGTTTTAGGATGAGAATGTGGAGGAAGTCATTAGCCTTGGATTGATGGAGAAGACTGCTCCCTTAATGACATTGGACTTCAAGTAAAACATTAAACTTCTGAGCCTTTTTTTTTTTTTGCCTGAACAGAGAAGGCTCTGGGGAAGGATAGTCAGGAAGTGGAAAGTATGTAGAGGTTTCTTTATAAGTCAGAATCTTCAGGGCTGATTTAGGTCCTTTGAATATTCAAAAGGTAGTTTCCTTGCTTAATCTTTAGCCTGAAGTTCTGCACAAACATGTCTCTTGTTTCTGGTTTGATTTTTTTTTTTTTTTCTTCAGGCAAGGTAGTTATATATTGTAGGACTTAGTTATGGTCAGCAGGGGGCACCCATTGCTTGTCTGTCCAGGGACCTCCAACAAAAGAATGCAGAGCATAAGTTCCTCTTCCAGAATTGCTTCCTCTGAAAATGTAATTAAACCATTACTACCTTTCAGGTCATCAAATGGGAAAAGTGTCTGGGATATTGTAACAAAAGCTGCCCATGTCTCCAAATGAGGGACCTTAATGAGACTGGTTATGACCCACAGTTTTATGAGAGTTGTTTGGTGGAGAGTTAATGCCCTTCTATTTATTCTGGGTACTTCCGAACTTTGTCCCCCACCCCTATGGTCTCTTTTGTTTCGTCTTAAACCTTTTGACCAGTAACTTACCATGTTTTCCTAATTCAAACCCCCCTTATACCTTTTTCCCACTCCCTTTGGCAGTTTTATTTGTTCCACTTTGACTGTTTCAGCTAGAGTTTAAGTCCTGGTGGGAGAAATAAGGGTTTTGTAGAGAAGGAAGTCAGAGTTTGTAGAGCATTTATTAAATGTTATTGTGATAAAAATTGAGAGTTGAAGGGATAGTTATTGGTCTAAAAGTAAATTTAAAGTTTCTAAAAGCCAATGGAATGATTTCTGGTATCCTTTGCATGTTTCTCTTCAGCCCAGTATATTTAACCAGGCTTCTTTCCTGATTGTTTTCTTAATACCTTAGCAAAAGTAGTTTACTATTATTTGAACTCATCTCAGTAGATGATAGTTCAGGAAACTAGAATTCTAATGGACTTCATGTTTCCTTGGATTAGAAGATGGCAGAGGGAGGCAGAGGATAAGACTCAGTGAATTCTAATACATTTCTAAGGTTTTGGCTTAGAATATCAGTTTACTTAATTTTTTTTTTTTTTGGTACTGGGGATCAAACTCGGGACCTTGCACTTGCGAGGCAGGTGGCAGAACCACTGAGCTAAATCCCCAGGCCTCAGTTTACTGATTTTAAAAATTTTTTCCAGGGCAGCAGAGAAGAAAGTGGTAAAAATTACATCTGAGATGCCACAGACTGAGGTATGTGTTCTGCTCCTTAATAGAATAGTCTATATTTCTGTTTCTTACCCTTTATTCTCTTTGCATCATAACTTTAAATTTTTTATTTGTAGACAAAAAAAACTACTACCAAATTTTGATATTGATTTCCCTGCCGGCTACTATTAAGAAAATATTTGGGCTGGGTATGGTGGTTCAAGCCTGTAATCCCATAACTCAAGAGGCTGAGGAAGGAGGATAGCCATGAGTTTGAGGCCATCCTGGGCTAAATAATGAATTCAGGGCCAGCCTGAACTACAAAGCGAGACCCTGCCTCAAAAAACTAAAAAAAAAGAAAGAAAGAAAGAAAGAAAGAAAATATTTGGACTACCTTTGAAGCTGTACTCTTTTTGTGTATAATTCTGTAGTCTTAGTGGTAAATCTAATATGTTTACTAAGCTAGGTTAGTTTGAGTAAATTGTGTCTTGGAAAAGTAACAATGATAGATATCCTTAAATTGTTACTTGCTAGCAGATGAGATTCAAATTTTTTTGAATTTTGTCTCAAGATCTCTGAAACCAGGTTTCAGTTGAGATCTTGTGCACAGCTTTGTACTTTAAAAGTAGAGAATCATTAAACTCTTTTAGAATGCCTTGAGACAACACTGCCTCATTTCTAATTCAAAGAAGTCACTAGTGTTAAAGCAAAGTGTTGATTTTATCTCTTTTCAAAGGTCAGCCATAGTTTTTGTGTTCTTGGCTTCATGCATAAAGTAGGTTTTATTTTGTTTCCCTCTTTTGTTTTTGAAGGCATGAATGTGATGTCTTTTTTGTGTTTGCTTTCTGGAAAACAGCTGTTACATTTAGCCCTAGAATGGACACACCTGATATCCTCTACAGTTGTCAGTATTTTCATTCTAGACCTTAAGAAATTATCTGAGTGCAGTGGTACATACCTGTCATCCCAGGACTGTGGGAAGCAGAGGCAGGAGAATCACACGTTTCAGCCCAGTTAGGCAACTCATGAGACCTGTCTAAAAAATAAAAAAAGCTAGGGGTGCAGCTCAGTTCAAAAGCCCTGGGTTCAATCCCTAGGAATCCCCCACCTGAAAGAAAATCTCTAGTAATCCCCCCCAAAAAAGAAAAAAAGTTATTCCTATTATTAAGGTATCACCTCTAATGAACTTTTTTTTAACTAGAAATTGAATTTTTCTCTTCTTTTTTTGTCTGTTACCACTTAGAGAATGCAGAAGAGGGCTGAACGATTCAATGTACCCGTGAGCTTGGAAAGTAAGAAAGCTGCTCGGGCAGCTAGGTGAGTGTCTCCAGCCTTTTGGACATGTGATAGTGATAGTATGAAAGTGTGCAGATGTGACCCTATATCTAGATTTTTGGATATAATTACTGATTTTCAGTAGAATAGTGGCCCTGCTGAAAGGAAATAAACATTTTTTGACCCTATTCAACACATCTCTGGTGATATGGTAAGGAAGCTATGGAATAGGTTTATTATTAAATAGGGTTTTGTAATAGTTGAAAGTCAGAGGGCCGGGGATTTAGCTCAGTGGGACTGTGCCTGCCTCACAAGCTCAAGGTCCTGAGTTCAGTCTCTGCTACTGGAAAAAAAAAGTTGAAAGTCAGGAATTGACTGCTGCTCCTCATTCTGATAAGGCTTCCTTGTAGCTTATTTTCTGGACTTTCGGTGAGAATGAGAGTGAACCTCTTTCATGAGGTTGTTAGAATTAGCTAATGATTGCAAAGCTTGAGATCACAAGCATGAAGTGCCGTATGTATACTTGACACAGAGACAGACAATCAAGAGTGTGAACAGCTTCCTAAAATTAAACTTGTTTTTTCTTCTTACAGGTTTGGGATTTCTTCAGTTCCAACAAAAGGTAAGATTACACATATTCTTCTGAGAAAGTTATCTTTGTTTTCTTTCTTTTTTGACATAACAGATTTCATTTCTCCAAAATCAGATAAATTTGTTAGCTGTAGAAGCTTTTAGGTTATAGCATTTGCCTTTTTGCTTTTTTTGTTTGTTTGTTTTTTGTTTGATTTGTTTGGGTTTTTTTTTTGAACCAGGGATTGAACTCAGGACCATGCACTTGTGAGGCAGGTGTGGCGCCACTGAGTTAAATCCCTGGCCCTGCCTTTTTGCTTTAAGTAAATCACATTTAAACCTTCCTGGGAAATTAAGAGAAGGTTCTAAAATTATAAGAGAATAGGAATAGTGCCAACATTTTTCTTCCTTAGACATCTTCACAGAAGTTTTTAGTACCTTGCTTACTCTAGTGTCTTATCAGCATAAAATTTTTTTTCCTTTTGGAGACAGGGTCTCGCTGTGTAGTTTAGGCTGGCCTTGAACTCAACTATGTAGCCTACACTGGCTTCCAGTTTGTGGCAACACTCCTGCCTCAGCCTCCTGAGTGCTAGGACTACAGGTGTGTACCACCATGCCCAGCTGCATAAAATATTATGTACCTATTTAGTGTTGTGGGTTAATATAAGTGGTAAAGGAGAAAGAATACCTTTTAGCTTAACAGTTTTACTTCAGAAACTTACAAGGGAATAAACTTGGATGTACTTAAACACTTAACCATGAAGATTGTCACAGCATTATTTATAGTCATCAATAACTGGAAACATAGTGGGAGGAGCAAGGGAAAGGAAAGAAGGGAAAGGAAAAATGATGAGAAATGGAAAAAATGGAAATAAAGTCTTTGTAAATAGGGAAGGGTGGAGGGCGTGAAAGGAGGGCTAGGAATGGGGAAAAAATAAGAACCAAGATGCATTATGTAAAGGTACAATTCCCAATGAGAAATGTAATTGTGTTGTATACCTACAATGTACCAATAAAAGAATTTAATACAAAAATAAATAAATAAATAAATAAATAACTGGAAACAGCCAAATTTGTACAACACAGAATTGGTTAAATGTATACCATTAATATACCAGATTATACTATCTTAAGAAATGGTATTTGTCAGAAGTAAGTGAAAAAGGTTCCAAAATTGTACTAACAGGTATGTTCCCATTTTATTCATAAAAATGAGCATGTATGGATAGGATAAAAAGATTTGAAGGACATTTACTAAATTCTTAGTACCGAATATCTCAGGTAGAATTTTGAGTGACTTTTTTTTTGCTTGCATTTTTAAAATCTATTCAGTGAATATGTATTATTTTGTAATTAAGAGAAACAGTTATTTAAAAATGAAAAAAAAGAACATAGCATCCTGGCTTGTTGACACATGCCTGTAGGATTGCTGGTTTGAGCCCATTCTGCACAATTTAGCAATTTGAGACTCTGTCTCAAAATAAAAAAGGGCTGAGGATGTAGCTCAGTGCAGAGTTCCTGGGTTTAAAACCCAGTACTACAAAACTTAAAACAAAAAGCATTGCCCTTGTTCTGGATTAACAATTTAAATATTATCTCCTAACCTGGTCTTCCTAGTCGCCTGTCAGTTTTGTGTGTTGAGAAAATGTCCCCCAGTGATTTTTGTAATGTTTTTTGGTTGGGCGGTTGGCTTTTTTTGAGACAGAGGGTCTCACTGTGTAGTCCAGATGGGCCATGAACTTGCAGAGATCCTCTTGCCTCTGCTTCCCAAGTGCTGGGATTATAGGTATGTGCCACCACAACCAGTAATCTGAGAAAGAGAGTTTTGACTAAGGATTGAACCTAAGGCCTTTGCACTGAGCTGCACAACACTCCCCACACCTTCCTGTTTCTTTTGAGATAGGGGCTCAATAAGTTGCCCAGGCTGGGCTTGAACTTGTGATCCTCCTGCCTGAGCCTTCCAGAGTCCTAGGATACCAGTCATGAGATTGAAATTGCTTAAAATGAAATTCTGGAAAGTATGAAATAAATAATTACTGATGAGGATAGGATTAGGCCTGAACACTTACTTACTATTTGCTTCCCCTTGTTTTGAGACAAAATCTCACTATGTAGTTCAGGCTGGCCTTGAACTCAATGTATAGTCCCCAACCTCACAATGATCCTCCGGCCTCAGCTCCCAAGTGCGGGGATTACAAGCATGTGCACACCATCCCTGGCTGTTTTCACATTTTGTGTATAAGGTTTTTTGTTTTGTTTTTGAGACAGGATCTCACTGTGTTAGTTCCAGATGTCCTTGAACTCACTGTGTAGCCCAGGCTGGCCTTGAACTCTAGAAGATCCTTCTTTCTTAGCCTCCCAAGCATTAGGATTACAGGCATGCACCATCACGCCTGGCTTAAAAGTTTTTGTATGGATGTTATGTTTTCATTTCTCTTGGGCATATATATCTAGTAGAATTGCTGGGTCATATAGTAACTGTGTTGAACTTTGAGAAACTGAAAACAGCCACATGTTCACAAGTGAATGGAGACATGATATCTAGATGTGTTTTCTGCTGCTTTTTATCATTGTAGGATAAAGGATCTTTGTCCCATATACTGTTTTTATGCTATTCTAATTTGATTTGAAGACTGTTGACATCCTTTATGACTTTAAAAAATATTAAGTAAAACTTTTTTATTTGCTTTTGTAGGTCTGTCATCTGACACCAAGCCTATGGTATGAAATCTTTTTTTTTTCTCCTTTGCAGAGCCAGATAGTAACTCTATACAGTTAGAGGGAACTCTGAGTCATGAGTTTGGTAACTATTTTCAGTATAATATTATATGTCCTGAATTTTTAAAAAGAAATTATCTTGAGATATAGAGATAACAGAAAAATTGCCACATAACTCACTTATTACAGACATCTTCCATTCTACCATATCTTTTTTTGAAACAATGACTAGATTTTGTTAGCTAAAAGACAGCCTCTTTGTACTGGAATTTTAGGCCTTGTCTGATGGCTTTATTTATATATTTTGTGGTACTGGGGGTTGAACCCACAACCAGGCAAGAGCACTATTACTGAGCTATAAACCCAGCCCTCCAGTGGCTTTAAATAATTACCATAAGAGGATCAGTAGAAGCAATTTATGAGTTCTATTTGTAGATACCTTTTCTTTTAAACCTGTTAAATACAAAATCACAGAATAGAGAATGGTGGAATGGCCTGGGCTGTTTTGACTAGTCTGCATGTTTGGAAATGGAAACATGGTGTGGTAGAGTACATTCAGCCTTAAGAAATCCTGCTTTTGGGGATACTGTTCAGTATTTTAAGTGAAGTTGAAATACTTCATTACTGTTGTCATTATTAATTAAAATATGCTAAGTCTTATAATTACAAGTCTTATATACCAAGATTTCCAAGAAAATGGAGGGAAGAGAATTGAAGTGGGTAATTGTGGTACATTTGAAAATGTGAGCACTGCAGCAGTATTTGTCTCTCCTTGAAGGTAGAGTTAAGGTAGAACTTAACATGGCCTGCATAATTTGATCTTAAACTTTCCTTACACCTTTGATGAATGAAGGAGGCAGGGCTAAGTCTTGCAGTCCATTCTAGGAAAGGCTTTTTACTAATCAGTGGAATGGATGGGTGCTGCTTAGTTTTTGAGATTGGGACATAGCTATCTTTGATATTGTAGTCTTGTTTAAAGTCTTAGCCTTGGACTTTTTTTTGCCTTCTCTATTTTCTTTCTTTCTTATTTATTTATTTATTTATTTATTTATTTATTTATTTATTTATTTTTGGTACTGGGAATCAAACTCGGCCTAGTGCTTGCCAGGCAGGCATTATGCCACTGAGCTACATCCCGGGCCCATTCTATTTTGATTTTTAAATGTATTCCTATGTTTTTGTAGGTTAACCTGGATAAGCTAAAGGAAAGAGCACAAAGATTTGGTTTGAATGTTTCTTCAATCTCTAGAAAGGTAATGTAGATTGGATGAATGTGCTGTTTTTGCAATACTAGAACAGCTTGGGGGATTGTCATAGATTGGAAATAACACTCCTGGGAACATGGTTGGCTACTCAGCACTTCATTTCTCATAGTCTTTTGAATACTTGGCTCACCTTCTCTGACTGTTAATTACATTATAGGAACTGTTTCACAAGCTAATTATTTTGTTCTTTAGTGCTTTCACCCAGGCCATTAAAGCATGGTCTATTTTTCTCTTGGTTAAGAAGTTGAATACAATGTTAAAACTTATTATCTGCCGCCTGCCCCGCAAGTGCAAGGACCTGAGTTCGATCCCTGGTACCAAAAAAACCCTGCAAAAACCCACAACTTATTACATATACTTTAACTTCTGATAATAGGTATAGGCATAAGGAAAATTAGATAAGAAGGCAATCCTGTCTTTAGGTCAGTGGTGCCTAGAAACAGTTTGGAGTTAGGTAGAACAAACATAAGAAAAGTGTTTCAGTCTTTCTGGCCCTGTGCTAATTCATAGGAGCAAAATTTTTTTTTTTTTAACTTCATTTTGAGGTGATCAGTTCTTCATTGATGCCTTCAGCATTTTGCTAAGCACATTGAAGAAAATTATAAGATTTGTCCTGTTTGCCTAGAACATGTGATCTCAATCTTTGTTTTTTGAGAATGTGAGCATATTTCTTGGTTGTTGAAATAGTGGCAGGGCATTTGAAACAGGAACCTGTCATTTAAAAAAAAAACACATTTGGGCCTGGGGATTTAGCTCAGTGGTTCCAGCGCCTGCCTTGCAAGTGCAAGGTCCTGAGTTCAATCCCTAGTACCAAAAAAACAAAAAACACATTAGCTGGGCATGGTGGCACATACCTGTAATCCCAGCATTTGGGAGGCTGAGGCAGGAGGATCACCATGAGTCTGAGATACATAGTGAGGTCAGGGCCAGCCTGAACTACATAGTGAGATACTCTCTCAAAACAACCCCAAAAAAGAACAACACTGCATTGCCCAGATTCTGTTGCAAAGGTGTTAATTTAAGAAACAACTTAGAGCCCCAGGGTTGTAGCTCAGTGGCATTGCGCCTGCCTGGCAAGTGCAAGGGCCTGAGTTCGATCCTCGGTGCTGAAAAAAAAAAAAAAGGAAGAAACAACCTAGAAATCTCAATGCTTCACAACGATGGCATGCATTCTCTGTCACGGGTCTGCAGGTCAGCTTGGGCAGTACTCTTTAAGCTGTGGGTTATGTCCAAGACTTCTCTGTCTCTCATTCTACAGTGGAGTTTTGAGGAACGTCAATTATTCAAGGTCTTTTCTTATAGTGGAGGGTAGAACCTTTTCAAGGGACCATCAGAAATACATGAGAACTTTGATTTCCAACAGCTGATACACCGTCACTTCTGCCAACACTCTCTTGGCCCCTTGAAGAAAATCACATTGCAAATTTAGCGTCAGTGGTGTCCTGATGAATACTCCTCCATTCTGGACCCAAAAGTCTAAAATCAGGTTATTAACAGAACAACAATGTCTCTGAAGGCTCACTAGAGGAGACCTGCCTTCTTCCATCTCTGGTGGCTTGAGTTTGTGTTTTGGTTGTGGCAGCATGTCTCCAGTGTCTGCCTCCAACTTCACATAATTTCTGACATTAGTGTGGAATCCTTTAGAAAGCTGTTGGGAGAAAAATCTCAACATTGGTTATATTTTTGGCTTAGGGAAAAAAAAAAGTGCTAAATCATTCGTGGTGCCACTGTGGAACATAGAACCTTGCACACAGCTGTGCTCTTTCTTTCCGTTAGGTTACATTTTTTTGAGTGGGTGCTGTGGATCCAACCAGGGCCTTGAACATTCCAGGCAAACACTTTGCCACTGAGCTATATCTCTAATCCTAGGTTACATTTGTAATGGTTTACTCAGAATATGCTCTGAGGTCTATGCACCTAGCATCTTGCTAAGAAGACCATTGGTGTTCAGTAGAAATATTTGCTGGTTTATGTGAAATTAGAGAAAAAAAAATTGAGTGGGGGGGTAAGGCAGAGTACATGATTTTTTTTTTTTTTTTGCTACATGTATTCTCTGTAATCAAAGGATTGCTCAATGAATTTTAAGTACATAAAAGGCACTGATTTTTAAATGTATTTTAAGATATATTTGAGTTTACAACCGTAAAACTACCATCCGCATTAAGATATTGAATAGAAATCTAACACATGAATGCCACATAAAGTCTCTTAAATGTGAAATATCTTATAGTTATTTCTGCCTAATAAAAATTTTGCTTTCCATTTCTATGACCTAGAGTTTCTCTTACCTTGATTTTATTTATTTATTTATTTTGGTGTTTTGGTTTGTTTTTGGTACTGGGGATCGAACTCGGGTCCTTGCGCTTGTGCAGCAGGCAGCGAAACCACTGAGCTAAATCCCTGGGCCTTTATTTTGGTGTTTTGAGACAGGGTCTCACAATATAGTTCAGGCTGGCCTTGAACTCACTGTGTAGCCCAGGCTGTCCTCAAACTTACGGCAATCCTCCTGCCTCACCTTCCCAAGTGCTAGGATTATGGGCATGTGCCACCATGCCTAGTAGTGGCTGATTTTTTTTTTTTTTAAGATGCCACAATCTCCTCGTCTCCTCTAGATATTTTGTTGTTGGGTTTTTTTGTTTGTTTTTTTGTTTTTTTGTACTGGGGATCGAACTTAGGACCTTGCGCTGGCGAGGCAGGCGGCGGAACCACTGAGCTAGATCCCCAGCCCTCCTCTAGATATTTTGGATTGACAGTTTGCACATATTACAGATGTGAGGAAATTGAGGATCTGCTGTTCTAGGCTGAGTTTTTCATGACTGCTCAGCTTTCAGTTCCATTAGTATACTATACACATTAGGCACTACACAGAAACTTAAAGAAATCTGGTTTTCCATATTCACCACTCCCCCATTATCTTTCCCTTTTCTCCTGCCCAGTACAAATCTGTTCATGTTTCTAGTCAGCTCTCAGTGAATAGGATCCTATTGGTTTAGGATAATGAGAAGTGACAGGACAAAGAATGGCACTGGCGTTTATAGACATTTTTTACGGAAGAGGCTGTAAATTGTCCCCTCCAACTCTTTGGACTATTTGAGGATGGAATGGCATGCTTTTTCTCATGTAAGGCTCATGGTGACTGTGGGCTAAGAAACCTCTTATCCTCTCAAGCAAAACAAAACCCAGATAAATAAGATCTGCCTGGTTGGTTCTGATTGATCACCAGCTTCGTTTTCAACCAAGTTTTGTGCTTGACTGGTTGGGTTGTGGTGTTTTTGTTTGTTTTTTTTTTCTCCTCTCTCAGTTTTCCATGCCTCCCAAGAAAAGTTAGTGTTTGAGTCAGTTCTTTTGGTGAAGGACAGGATTTGGCCTGGCACATAGGAAACTCATCTTTAAAAGGAATGAGAATTGGATAGAGGAAATGAAGATGGTAAACCAGCTAAATTGATAAATGCTGATTGAAAGATACTAGTTTTGGTAAAAACTAAATATAGGCTTAGAGTTGTAGTGTTAACTGATGTAGCTCATTTGAGTATATCGTTTTATGTTTTTTAAAAATTAGCATACTTGGAAAGAGGAAATTTGATTTTTTTTTTTTTGAACTGGGGATTGAACTGGCGACCTTGCGTTTGTGAGGCAGGTGGCAGAACCACTGAACTAAATCCCTGGCCCCAGAAACTTGATATTTTGGGCAATTATAGGAAATCCATCTAGGTAGGTGGATTAAAAAAAAACTAGCCCAGGCACTTCACACACTATAGTGTGGTTGATACCCTTTCTCCCTTCTCAGGAATGCACAGGGCAGTGGTGGCGAACCTGTGGCACACATATGCTGCAGAATGTCATTGAAAGCTCTAAAAGGTTCACCATCACTGGTATAGGGCATTTGTTACTGATTCTTGATTAGTAATAGAAGATATAAGCATCTTGTATCCTGTTGACCTTCGTATTTCTTTCTTTTTTTCTTTACTGAGTACTACCAGGTTTTTCCTAAACTTGCAGTGCTTTATATAAGTAACTGTCTTAATAAATCTTAAGGCCTATACACCCTAAAAAGGCTACTTTTCTTTGGTTTGTGATTTTTGCCTGTTTTCTTCCTCGATGAGTATGGTCTGTGTAATACAGTATTAGAATATAAAAAGGTTGAAAATAAATTTATCTTTCCACCAGCCGGCCAGCTGTTTCTTGTTGAGTTGCAGCGATAATTTTTATGAGCCTTTTTGGTTTTTTTTGGTACCGGGGATCAAACTCGGGTCCTTGCGCATACGAGGCAAGCGGCAGAACCACTGAGCTAAATCCCCGACCGCCCTCCCCCCCCTTTTTTTTTTTGAGATAGGTCTCACTATGTAGTTCAGGTCTTGAACTCATTGTGTAGCCCAGCTGGCCTTGAACTCAACGCGATCCTCCTGCCTCAGCCTCCCAAACGCTGAGATTATAGACGTGGGCTACTATGCCTGGCTTGAGCCTTTTGTATTACATCTTCATTTATTGAATTGGTTGGAGATGAACTCTCAGAGTGAGAGATAGTCTGCCTTATTTATGAAGAGCTTATCACTGATACATGTTGTGATACCAAAAAAGAAGCTGGGTAAAGTCACTTGTAAACACAGGAAAGCACCTGTATCTTCATCATACAAATTTCACTGTGGCTAACTGATGGTAGCCTCGTTTCAATATATGCCCCTATAGAAGGCCTTTTTGATTTTATATTGATTCTCTTTTACCATCTGAGATAAAGAACAGTTTTGGTTTTTCCTCTCCTTTAGCACTGAATTTGGTGTAGAGGTTAGCCATTGAAATGTGGTTGAAAAGAATTAAGCTCATACTTGGATTTCCAAGTTAGTCACCAGCCTTCTCAGGTGGTACACAATTAGGTTTAGTTGAGTATGTATGTACAAACCTTTACAAAAAAGAACTGTGGGATCATGCATAGGAGGACATTGCCAGCATGGAATTTAAGAGTCAGAGGAACTGTAAGCCCAAGCTATGGTGAGGAGTTTGGTAGAATTTTTTTTTTTTTGGTACTGGGGATTGAACTTGGGACCTTGTGCTTGCAAGGCAGGCGCTGGAACCACTGAGCTAAATCTTCGGCCCCAGGTAGAATATTTTTAAAGGGGATAATGGTAGAAGAATTAGATCCCAAAATAAATTGGAAAAATAGCCTGTTGAGTAGGTTTGGGTTCTTTCCAGAAATACTCAAGCAGGAGTGCCTTGGCCAAGGGCAAATCTTAATTCTTCATTATCCTTTCTCATGGGGCCACATGGAACCAAAATAGTAGAATTGTAGGTGGAGGGAAAATGTCACTGTAGGCCCCACTAGTTGTTGTATCTGATTGACAAGGACTTTGGGGAGGATTCCCCCCCCACCTTGTTCCATATTGTTAGTTTTTTCAAAAATGCTTCTTGCTCATGAGAAATTTTGTTCTTGTAACTTGGATTAACCAGCAAAAAGAGATAATTGCTTATATACAAAGTGTCTTCAACTTAAAATGGTTTGACCAAATAATTTTTGACTTGGTGACACTGCAAAAGCAGTACATATTCAGTAGAAACAGTACTTCACATTTTGAAGTTTGGTCTTTTCTCCATCATAAAATGGGAAGCATCTATATACAGTAGAAATACGTAACAGTTGAGAGTAGTTGTCATAGAGGATGAATTTTAGGAAGATAAAAGACCAGTCTTCAGGATTTCTTGAGTAGTATTTCTCAGAACATTTTAAGACTCCACAAAATTTTAACTTCTTTAAATTTCTAATTCACAATACTTTGAAAATAAGTATTTAGTATTTTCATGAAGGTACACACAATGTATAATTTTATTTGGTTTTTTTTCTTCTCTTCTTCCTCCTCTTTAAGATAAAAATATACACTACTTTCCTTCCATGGGCCCAATGGAATAAACCTTAAGGGAGTGAAGAAGGAGCTGTTTAAAGAGCAAACAATAGAGGAAACTCTCTGACCTCAGTTTATCCTGTCATCTGGTTCTTCATTTGTCCCTGCTAAGGAACAGAAGTTGTCTTTTGTCTGTAACACAAATACATCTTCACCTCCCTCTTTTCCCACTCCCCCCTCCACCCACTCTTCTCACTCCCTTCTATTATGGTTCCAATCAATGATGTCATTATGTGCACCATTCAACTGCTGTTGAACCACTTGGCTACAGGAATTTGGAAGAGCAAAGGGGCAGAATGGAATTTTTCTCTTCTGCCCAGGGCTCTTGAAAATGCATTCTGATTGTAACTAGAGAAATAGGAGTGGAGTTTTTCTTTGCTTAGGTTCTCCTTCTACTCTCCCACTATGCCCTAATCCACAGACACATTTTCACCTAGTTGTGTAAGAGGAAAAATAATTGGACAAGAAATGTTAAGGGTATAAATTGAAAACTTTAAGAGGAAAGGTTTTTAAAATGTGGGATGCAAAGTGAAATATTTGATACTGTATCACCATTCACGGCTGGTGTTTTGCCCTGTTTACTGGATATTCCAGGAGTTTCTGATAGAGGGATAGACTTGCCTCTATCAGGGAAAGTAGATGCTTGAAACCACTGTGCTCTTGTCCCGTTTGATGTTATTTTTTACTGATTTCATTTATTCAGTTTGATCCCAAAGAATAACAGGTAAGAAAATTTGTAGTTAAAAGGTAACTTTTCCCCTGCTCATTTCCCTACTTCCATTAGTATCTTTGCATTCATTCTTTTTGAGCCAGAATCGGTGACTTTGATTTAAAAAAAGAAAAAGTTTTATACCTCTCTGTGATCGGACTTTGCCCCAAGAATAACAGCCTGGAAAAAGAGGGGAATGTTACATTTCTTTTACTTTTAAATACCTTTGGTTGTTTTTGCCAGTTGAATTCTTGGGGTAAGATCATTTCCTGAGTGAGATGTTTCTTTTTTGTTTCATGTTTTTATGAAAAGAAAAGCCAAACACAAACACATGACAATCAGAAAATATAGTGAATTGAAAATAGTGTTTGAATATAGTGTTTGAACTTTTTAAAATTATAATAAATGAGCCAGGTATGGTGGTGCATGCCTGTAATAACACCATTTGGGAGGCTGAGAAAGGAGAATTGCCATGTTGAAGTTCAAGGGCAGTTTGAACTACATAGGGAGGGAGACCCTGCCTCAAAAAACAAAATAAAAAAAGATTACAGTAAAAGATGCATTTCTATTAATCCTCCTAAAAATACTCCCCCTCACTTTTAACACACTTATCCTATTGTTCTTGCCACTTTGTGAAGCAGTTCTGGAAGTCTTCTTTCTTGAGTGTCTTTACAAGGTGTGATTCAATCCCTGGTACTGGGTGTGTGGGGGGGGACGAAAAACAAGGTTTGATCAAGAATATTGGTGAATGGTGCTGTGGAACGCCATGCAACAGAAAGGCAGGCCCATAAAAACATAGTGTGTCCTCATTTATCATATTCACTGGATCTGGTACTGTGTAACCTCTAGTTCTTTCCTAAAGTCAAAATGACCGAAAGTTAAACATTTAAAATTGATTCAGGACATTAAAGCAGTCATAATAGTACAACTAAAGAGATGAACTGCTTCACAAAGTGGCAAGAATGATGGGCTAGCCAGACATGGTGGCGCATGCCTGTAATTCCAGCACTTGGGAGGCTAAGGCAGGAGGATCACCATGAGTTCAAGGCCATCCTGAACTAAATCGTGAGACCCTGTCTCAAAAAGAAAAAAAAAAAGAATGATGGAATAAATATGTTTGAAGCAAGGGGAATATTTTGAGGGGGATTGATGGCACTGTGTATTTTACTGTGTTCTTTAGGCATTCACCATATTTTTCGATTACACCATGTATAATGTATAGCCACCACATTTTACAATTCAGTAATATATATATGTGTGTGTATGTGTGTGTGTGTGTATATATATATATTTTTCTGAACCCAAAATCAAACTCAGTGTTTTGGGGGGTTTTCTTTCTTTTTTCCTTTTAGGTTACAGTACTCATAAATACACAGG